TATATATACTGAATGTTACTTCATGCCTGACTCGACCAAGCTACTCCCCTCTGCCTCCAGCCTCATACCCCACTGTCAATCCGACCAGTCACTTCTCTTGGGCCATCTCCGCCCACATCGAAACCTCCGCCAATCACGAGTAGGGACGTCTTCGCCCACAGGACAAAACCTACTGCAGAGACCCCTTCAGACAGGCAGCCATCTGCCTCCACCAGCTGGGTTTGGGGGACAGGAAAGACACACAGAGAAACACAGAAAGACTGGTCCAGGTGTATTTTCCTCTGGAACAGAGACAAAAAAAAAAAAACATCCATGCATCAAATCAATGAGGTGTCATGGTGAATGCACATAGTTGCAGTGTTTCAGGTCTATTACATAGAAAAAACTTGCAGACCCATAACTATCAAGGGCTAAGCAGTTTTTTGATACCAAAAAGACTTGAGATATGTTCCATAAAGTATTTTTGAGTACTGTTGTTCCTAGAAGCAGTGTCTCCATTGAGTATCCACCTGGCCATAGCAAACCGTAACGATGGAAGTGACCTGTGTCTCTGTGCCCAGCTCCTAAACCTGGAACTTATACTGACCTACAGCCAACTGATTCCCAGTGGCTTTGGCTCAAGACTTACTGAGAAACTGTGCAATCTATTCTTGTGTGCTACGGCTTGGGCAAGCTCAGACTCAGGAGCAAATAGTTGATTAGTTGATCCAGAGGACCACTCATCTGTCACTTCCTGTGGAAAAGTGGTTTGTCTCCTATTTACACTGCTCATGTTATTTGGAGATGTTCAGCTAAATCGTGGACCAGTGACTTTGGGACTAGGTCTGCCTGGAACTTCGGCTCAGGTGCAAAATGAACATGATGGCTTTGATCCAGGTTGTGTGTGCGCCCCCTACAAACTTAATTCTTTTAACATCGGAGATAATTGCCAGCTGAGGTTATTCAGAACTTTTGAAACTGTCAATCATGCTAAAGTCTTGTGGCACCCAAAGTTGAAACCAAGAGGGCTATTTGGTGGATGATTTAACATCAGAAGCCTAAAGAGCAATCAGTGAATCCATCTCTTGTCAGATTCCAACACAGACTTCCTTTGTCTAACAGAGACGTGGATGAAACTGTCTACTCCTGTGTGTGTTCATCAGTTCTAGGTTATCAGGGTTTTAGGTGAGATAGACCTGAGATAGGGGGAGGGGCTACTGAACGATGACATTAAATGTAAACATATGGATCAAAAACCAAACACTACTTTAGAATTTACAATATAACAATAACAATTATTCTACAGTTGAAACCAGACGTTTGCACCACTACAGGAGACTGAGGCTAGACCCTCTCTGGAACACAAGAGACTGAAGCATTGACCTTCTGGAACACAGGAGATTTCAGCTACTTTCAACTTTTATTCTGCTTCTGTCAGATTAACTCCAGCTACTTTCAACTTTTATTCTGCTTCTGTCAGATTAACTCCAGCTACTTTCAACTTTTATTCTGTTTCTGTCAGATTAACTTCAGCTACTTTCAACTTTTATTCTGCTTCTGTCAGATTAACTCCAGCTACTTTCAACTTTTATTCTGTTTCTGTCAGATTAACTTCAGCTACTTTCAAC